GTAAAAGTACCTTTTGGAAGAGGAGTCCAAACCCTTTGATCAGAAGAAGTGGGGTCCAAGCAAACGGATTCTAGTAAATGAATTAGCTCAATAACACAATTTGACTCACCATCCCTTAACCCTCTACGAAACCCAAAGTCCCAGTTTAAAGATAAGGGGTTTAATGGGCTCGGGAGAAAAGTTGCAATTGGCTCATGTTTGTGAAGGGAAATGGAATAGAGCAAGTCAAACCTTCTTTCTAACCATCTTTTTTGATCATCCTCAATTCTTGGCCACTCCAACCTTCCACACCAAGTCTTCTAGAGAGAGATTTTCTTAATGTCGACTTGAAATGGTTAACAATAGCACTAGCAATTTCAAATTGTTGATCAATAGTCTCCCCTTCAACTTCCAATTTGTAAATGTAATTTTTCCTCCTCCTGTCATTAGCTAAGGCGTGGAAAAAATTTGTGTTTCTATCCCCATCCTTTAACCAGGTTTGCCTAGATTTCTGCCTTCATGAGATCTCTTCTTTAAAAAGAATATCCTCCAATTTCTTTCTCAGCCTCCCTCTCTCTTGCTTTTCTTTTTCTCCAAAAATTCCATCATTTTCCTTATTATCCAATATCTCAATATTGTCAATTACCTCTTGTTTTTTCTTTTCTAATCTGCCAAATTGTTGAGCATTCCAAATCCTGATCTTTGCTTTCAACTCTTTAAGCTTATGCTGAAATTTCATACCCTCCCACGTATCACTAGTATTAATCTCCATTCGCCAATCCTTTACCTTTTCTCTAAACCCTTGGTGACTAAGCCACATGTTCTCAAACTGAAACGGGGTAGGGGCATTTCCTCTTAGCTCAACCTTGGATAAAGAGATAGGCCAGTGATCAGAGGTTAACCTAGGAAAATCCATAGAGACCAACCCTCCCCAGTGGGCTTCCCAATCCACTGTAAATAAGAATCTATCGAGCTTAGAAAAAATTGGGTTTGATTGAATATTAGACCAAGTGAAGTTACTACTCACAAGGGACAACTCCTTCAATTCACAATTGTTTATGAATTCATTAAACTTCCTCATACTTGTGGTTTCTCTTTGTCTCATCTTATTAGACTCCTCAACAAATCTTATCACATTGAAGTCCCCTCCAATACACCATAGTCCATCCCACAATCCCTGTACATCTTCAAGCTCTTCCCACATTTCATTCCTCCCTATACCCATTAGGTCCGTAAATGCAAGTTAACACCCATTCAAAACCATCCTCTTCATTTTGAAATTTAAGAGACACTGTAAACTTCCCCATCAATTCCTCTTTTCCCATCAACATGTTCCTCTTCCATAGTACCACCATACCACTTGAGGAGCCCCTAGACCTCCATATACTTCTAGCCCATCTGTCATCAAATGTCGAAAGCTTAGTCTCTTGCAACAAAACAACATTCGGCTTCTCCTTCTTCAGCAATTCTTTTATTATGGCTCTCTTCCTCGTGCTCCCTAAACCTCGAACATTCCAACTGATCATTTTCATCAGGTCACTTTGATTTTATATCCCTTACCTCAGCCCCCTTAATTACTTGCCCCCTCTTCTCCTAGCCTTCCTCTCACTAAACTCTCTATCTCCCTTCACATCTAGCATTAACCTCTCCACCTCACTCATCTTCCTTTTTCTCACCTTCACCTCAGTTTTCTTGGTCCTTAAGTAGGCTTTTAAGTCATTGGGATTCTTCACCTTACAACCCAACTTCTCCACAATACTTTTTGTCCTGTCTTCTTCCTTTTTGTCAGCAATCAATACTTCCCCCCTGTTCATATCTTCCTTATTCTCTATGTGTTTATTTTCCTCTAGCTCCTTCCTCGTCATTTCTTCCAAATGATGTTCAATTAAACCCCAAATTCTTTCTCCCATCTCTTCAACAACTATAGCCTCACCCCCAATTTCACTGTTAATCTTTTTTGCATCCACGGCCGGCGGCAAATAGAGAGGCTGGGAACCTGGAGAATTGGCATGAGACAGCGAATCCACATTAGTACCCAAAAACAAAAATTTACTGCCATACCTGGGGGGAAGAGAACGGAAATCCGTTTCCTTTCCCGTCGCAGGAAGAGGAGGATCACGGTCTTTAATAGGATGGACCTGCTGGGAACCAAATTCCAGGAAGGAATTCTCCTGCAAAAATCTTCCTAACACTTCACACAACTATTTTAGATGAAAGAGGACAAGTAAAAGTTCAAAAGATAAAGCAAGCTTTATTTACTACTTTAAGTAATGGGATTTTAATATCCTCCAAAAGTTTGTACTGATCCAAAAAAAAAAATCCTCCAAAAGTTTGGGTTTTTGATTCCCCTATAAGACAAAATCCAAATCCATGGCAAAGTGGGTGAAAACTAAGAAGATTAGCAACCATACCTAAATGAAGATTCCCAAATACAGGTATTAGTACCATAGGTACCTGGTTTTCTGGTTCATTTGCTGCTATTAAACAAACCCAGTTCATCCGAAGCAGGCTTTTAAAATATGTTTTCAGTTTGTCTTGGAATAAGCTCATTGAACTCCTTTGCTTCTCTGGTCTATTTGCTACTTTAGAGTTCAAAGTTGAGAATGCCTTTAATTAAGAAAATGTACAGAATTAAGAATTCTTAATAATAGGCTTTTAAAATATATTTTCAGTTTGTCTTAGAATAAGCTCATTGAACTCCTTTGCTTCTCTGGTCTATTTGCTACTTTAGAGTTCAAAGTTGAGAATGCCTTTAATTAAGAAAATGTACAGAATTAAGAATTTTTAATTTTTTGGTTTACTTTTATATCTATAAAATGTTGGATTTCTTAAACTTTGCCTCCAAGTTATTAGGCATTATTTCTTTTAGGTAACTGAATTACAGGTTTCCTACTACTTAAGATAGTATACCTAGTTCACTCAAATAAGGAAACTCTTACACATCATCACAAATTGACTTGCAAATTGGTATAATAAATACCAGTTCACAAATTGTGGTAAATGACTAAATGAAAGCACTTTAGGTAATTACGATTAGTATTTAGTACAGATACTGATACATGGATAGAGACATGGCCCTTCATAAAATTCAGGACAATGTAGTAAATGCAAGCACTTTAGGTAATTATGGTTATTATTTAGTACAGCCTCTCTGTATATGCAGGGGTAAGGCTGCGTACATCTGTCCCTCCCCAGACCTTGCATTGGCGTCGCACACTGAGCTGCCCTTTTTTATTTAGTACAGATACTGATACATGAAATAGAGACACGATCCTTCATAAAATTCAGGACAAAGATACGGATACAAGCATCCTACCAGGATAAAAATAATACTTTTGGTATTTAAGAATTCTATAGTGGATTAGATGCACCATCGTAGATTTTCGTTCACAAGACATGGAGTCATGGATAAAGACTAAAGAGTAGGGGTATCAATGGATTAGGTTTGGGTTGGACCCCGCCCAAATCAAAATCAATTTGAACAGGTTGGATAGTCCAATAAGACATGTTGAATTGGACCAGTCACCAGTCCAGACTTAATGGTCCAAAGTATTTATTGGATTGGATTGGACCTGGTCCATCTATAATAGGTTTATACTGGACTGGATTGGGTTGAACAAATATCTGGTCCATTAACAAAAGATAATAGTAGGGGTGTCAATGGACTGGGTTTGCGTTGGACCCAGTCTGAGTTCAAACCAATTTGAACTGGTTGGATGGCCCAATAAGGTGTATTGAATTGGACCAGTCCAGACTTAGTGGTCCAAATTATTTATCATATTGGATTGAACCTGGTCCATCTGTAATGGATTATGGACTCATATTGGACCAGATTGGATTGGACCAACATCTCGGTCCTGACAGCCCTACTAAAGAGCAACGCTATCAGGTCAAAACACCATGATAAGCAAGTCATACCCTTTTGGTGTGACAAAAATCAAATACAATTATAACCTAGCAATAGAGGTGCATAGGGGTGTCAATGGACTGGTTTTGTGTTGGACTCCATCCAAATCAAAATCCATTTGGACGGATTGGATGGACCAATAAGACATTGAATTTGAATGGACTGGACGGACCAATAAAACATATTGAATTTGGACGAACTGGACGGACCAATATGACATATTGGATTGGACCTGGTCCATCCATAATGAATTTATATTGGGTTGAGCCAATATCTGGTCCATTGATAGAAGATAAGAACATAGGTGTCCAATGGACCAGGTTTGAGTTGAAACCAACCTAAATTAACAAGAATTTGAACAGATTGGACGGTCTCTGGACCGGTCCAAAATATTCATTGGACTGGATTGGACCAGGTCCATTTGTAATGGACTCACATTGGACTGGACCGGATTGGATCAAATCCAGTCCAATTGACACCCCTAGAGGTGCACAGGCTCAACAAAATTGCATTTTCTATCCACTTTTGACAAAACTGATGGGAACATGTCAGAACATGCCACTGAAAGAATACCTATCCACCAAAACTTCCCCAAAATGACTTGATTTCTTTAATTGTTAACCATAGGCATTATTTCTTTTTATTTGGAGCTCTTCTTATTTAAATCCATTTCAGTTTTTATGAAGTACATTTACAAAAAAACAATAGGTCTAACTTATGACCATTAGATAGAGGGATCCAAATGCTACGGAATAGAGGTGAATGGATGTAAGAATGCTGGATGTCTGATCACGTTATTTCGTTTTATAAAGGCCTGCTTCATACAGGAATTATCAGCACCATATGATGTAATGTGACATCCAAGATGGTTCATGTCTTATTTGTCAACCTTCTGAATAGAAAAGAGGAGACTAAGACTCAATTAAGATAGTAGAAAGAGAAGCAGGTTTGTAGTGGAATTGATCAGCACCAATATTTTTAGCGTACAGTTATGGTCATGATATGTTAACAGCCTCACGAGGAGGTTACTGAAAACTAGAACATTAAATCTGCAGAATCATAAAAAATATTGAAGCATGAATTACAGAATAAGAAATGAAATAGTGCTGAAAAGCAAAAGGAGAAAAGGCTACATCCAGAAAAAGCATAGGCTTATACCTTCTCTACTCCATCCAATTCTCAATCATCCGATCCAGCAATTCTACAATATTTTGAACACCCTCCTTTCCACCTTGAACACAATCAAGAGCCTCATTCAACTGCTGTGCTTCAGTAATCCGTGCCTCCCTCAACAAGCTTCTATAAATCTGAGTTCGCAAATCATTAGCAACTACCACATTTGCGCCAACCATAGCCCGAAGAACCTTCAAAGCCTCCAAAGTCTTCCAATGCCTACAAAACCCCCCAATGACAACTCCATACACACCTGCATCCGGAGTACAAGGTGAATCCGGTCTGGACATCCAATTAAATACTTTCATTGCTTCCTTGAATTTATGCTTCTTGAAATAAGAAACGAGGAGCATATGGTTGATGGGTCTGAGAGCAGGATGGGCATTAGGGTTGTACTTGAGCCGGGTGAGGAGGGCCATAGACTGGGTCATGTCAGGCTCTTCCGAAATGCGATCAATGAGGATAGAGAGGGAAAGGGAATTGAGAGGTGGGTTTGTAAGGAGTGCTGCATCTACCAGACGAATGGCTTCTGGCAGATGATTGGACTCGCAGAGACGAGGTATAAGGAGATTGATCTTTGTGAGTTCTTCTGAAGTGAGTTGGGCAGCCTGTCTTACACCTGCAGCAGAAGAACAGATAGACCTGAGAAGAAGAAAATCGGGTTCTGGAAGAGCATAGCGACACAAGTAGAGTAAGGAGGGGCAAATTCTTCTCATTGTGTTGGGAGAGGTTTGAATTGTCGTTAGGTCTAGGAGGGTTTAGGGTTTTAGGTCGTTAGGGCTTCGAGCTGGGAAAGCCGGGAAGGTTCAACAATTTGGCACAGGGGATTCAGTCATTCCGTCATTCGTGTCTGTGGTGTAAAAGGTTGTTGACGATAAGTTAGGCGATGGCCCATGGGCTATGGGCCCAAGCTTTGTTCTCTCAACAGAAATAGCATAATTGGGCTGGAATTGGCTATGGGCTGAAAGCCTGAAACCCATTCAAGGCCTTGATAAACCTTATCCTATGTTAGGTTCATTCACTGATTCATCATTTCACCGTATATTTATTGGTGATCAAATTCATCAATCCAAACCAGAGGGATGAGTATAAGCACAGTCTACAATGGGGTGTTCGCCAATAAATATGGTTTTGTTTTTTCAAAATAAAACAACTTTAAATCCAAGGCAAGGTTTGTATTGGCATGGGTGTATCGATTCTTTTTTGGCCGTGTTTTTTTTAGTTTTTTTTTTCAAATTTCATTTTTATAAAAGTTTTTTTATATTATTTAATCAATAAAAAAAAGTTGAGGTCCTGGAAACACCTGTAAACAGGTATATTGGACACAAAAATACAATATGATACGCCTAATATGCCCGGTATCAGATGTATCGTTTTGATACACCCCGTATCAGACATATCATATCAATACTTTGAACATTGATCTAAGGTATCATTGGTACTATAACCACACCAATGCCTATGTTTCATCATCCATCAAATAAGTAGGCAGTAATTGCTGAATGCTGAATGTGGGGTCCTTTTTTTTTTTAAATTTGGAGTCTTTTCCATATTCCACTTTCAGCAGTTATTAAAGTGTCAACTTGTTCTTCTTCTTCATAATCATTATCATCGTTGTTGTCATTTTTCATTTTTAGCGGGCTAGTAGGTTAACATTTGGGTTTAAAAAGAGTGATTTTAGAGTTTGAACCTAGGTGGTGTGCATAGAAACATTGAAGATTTTATCATCTTAAACTTTGTGAGATAAACAAAATCGGTCATGATTATGATCTCATACAAACTGAAAAAACAAAAGGAAAAAAAAAAAAAAAACTGAGCCAATTTGATTATTATGTTTTTTTTTTCTACCACAAATGCTTTGATTTATCAATACAACATTAAATACTATTATTGTTTATTCAGGAAAAGTCAAATTTGGTGTTTCTACTATAAACATCCAATCTAATGTTTATATTTTTTTAGTAGAAGTGGTTATTTGTTATGATGTAGGAAGGCCATTTCTCAAAAAGTTTGTATTAATCAACCTAAAACATTGTAAGTAGAAAGTGACAATGACACCAAAACACAACTTTTATCTCTATATCTCTAATATATTGCACCTTCAAATAAGCAGCCTTGCATTCATTGGATGATTATAACCATTTGACTGATGGCTCTCTTCTTAGACTGATAAATGCAAATTATATATTGAGAATGGTCCAGACTGGTGCCTGTTTATTGTGCAAGCACTAACTTCATAATTACTTACTGGTGCAAGGTTAATGTAATTGTTCGAAACGTCTTTGAATACCCATTTCTAAAAACACATAAAATAGGATTAAGACCACAACTCTGACCTAACTGATTGTGCAAAGGGGAATATGTCCCACCTACTCTCTCTCTCTCTCTCTCTCTCTCCGTGGTTCAAGTGTAAATTTCAAAGCAAAGCACAGAAAATTAGTATAATATGGCCTTATCCAAATACTCTCATAATTGTATTGAAGGGAAAAAGACACACTAACCACCCAACAAGATGGTGGAGGGTGGAAACTGTACATTCCAAGGCAATTATTTAGATTGTAAAGGGGAAAGCTGGTTAAAGCATGGGCATCCTGGTTAGATTAACAATATTATTTATTAGTAGAAAAGCCTCAATATTTTAGCTGTGTGGCGTAACAAAACAAATTGGCTAATCAACTAACAAACTCTTTTTTAATTCTCTGAATTGGTCATATTTTAATTAACAGAATAATAACAAGAAGAAAAGAACTGACATGCTTTCAGCAGAGCAACAATCCAAATCAATTATCTAAACCCACCACCATGGACTTTGAATCTCTTTCTATGGTACTTGGCAAAACAAGCTTCAGGTGTTTCAAGTGTCAGGAGTCTTGGAATTAAATAAAAGAAAGAAGAAAGAAAGCCCTCAGCCTCAAGAGGCTGTTCATTGTTCAGAGACTACATGGAAATTGGGTGCTCTAAAGTCTAAACTTCAAGTGAAAAGTCACCCCCCAGAAGCCATGTTCAACAAAAGAAGCTAATTTGCAAACGTATTGTCTGACATCATCACCAGATTTGGCCTATTGTTGGCACTCCCATTCCTCAATTATTATTGCAGTCTACCATTATGGACCACTGTTTCAAAAATATCCTATCGCCCGCCAGGTGTTTGTCATATTCTCCCTCCTTTTAAATCTATATATTTCTTACCCACTTCCCCTCTCTTCCCCCATACTCACTCTTACACAGCGAAGCTAAGCAGATGGAGACTGTTGAAGATGTTGTCATTGTTGGTGCTGGAATTGCGGGGCTCACTACTTCTCTGGGACTTCATAGGTATATTATCCCCTCTCTCTCTCATATAACTGATCATTTGATTTTGTTCATTCTAATATGAGAAGATGAAACAAAATTATAATGAAGCTCCCTTTCTACAGGATGGGACTGCGAAGCCTGGTTTTGGAATCATCAGATAGTTTGAGAACCACAGGATTTGCATTGACAACATGGGCCAATGCTTGGAAAGCCTTACATGTCATCGGCATAGCTGATTCCCTCAGACAAGAGCATGTTTTGCTTCAAGGGTAAGTCACACAAACCGTTGTTGATCAACATTTGGTCTCAACCACAAATTAAAAATAACTAGAAGAAATTTTTACATATTTGAGTGCAGGGTGAAGGGTACCTCTACAATCTCTGGACTAACTACATCAGAGATATTATTTAAGGACATTAAGAAATTGTGAGCATCTTATCCTTGAGTCTACAATTTACAAACTAATAAACAATCTCGCAAGGTTGGCTTCACCCAGTTCATCTGATAATCAGATGGAGTTGGATTCACCCACTTCATATATATAATACATAACTGTGAGCTTATAGATTTATTGTTCTGATACTATAGTTGGTTTGGATGTGTAGCGGAGATGTTGAGGTTCGTTGTGTGAGAAGGAATTTGTTAATTGAAGCCCTTGAAAAGGAGCTACCTCCTGGCACCATCAGGTTCTCCTCGAAGGTTGTTGCAATTGAGGAAGCAGGATACTTAAAAGTGTTGCACTTGGCTGATGGTTCTGTGCTCAAAACTAAGGTAATTTGCTGGTGGATGTGGATTACGCAAAGCTCATGGATACAGTTACAGACCCAAAACTCAAAGTGGCTGGACCAAGGGCCAATTATGTTGTGGAAATTAAATTTAGGCCCAGAATAGCCCACACTCATGTTATGATTCTATTGTTATGGGCCTATAAGCGAAGGTTGGGTTGGGTTACAAAGGCCCAACAAGGCTGTCTTCTACTCTTCCACAGTGAAACTAAGGGTGCAAGTTGGCCTAACTCTAAAGCCCCGAGCCTGGTTTAAATTTAGGCCCAGCCCACACTAAAATTTGATGCACTCGGGTTGTTTTTGGGCTTAAGCCCGGCTCGGGTTGGTCAATCAGCCCAAACTAAAATTGATATACATGCATGTGTATATGAAAGCATGTAAGCATGTATGCATATGCATGGTTTATTAAAAAAAATTATGGATATATGCATGTGTGCATGCAAATGTGTCTATATATGCATATGCATGTATATAATCGGGCTGGGCTCAGGTTGGGATAAGGTCAGGCCAGTTTTGGACTACCTTAGGGCTAGGCTTGAGCCAAGCCCACAAAAAATCGAATTTATGGGCCGAGGCCCATCTCAAGGACCAAAAATCCAAGCCCAACCCATGTAAAATTGTGGATTGGGTCAGTTAGGACTTAAGTTGGGTCCGCCCAAATTTACTAAAGCAACTTCATTCTTCTCAACCCAGTAAAGATTGCTTTAGTAAAGATGCTTAACATACAACCATGCAATCTACTAAAGCAACTTCATTCTTCTCCAAAATTAGGTTTTAATAGGGTGTGATGGGGTGAACTCTGTGGTGGCAAAATGGCTAGGGCTCCAGAAGCCAGCCTTCACTGGGCGGTTTTCAACTAGAGGCTACGCAACGTTCTCCTCTGGCCATGGTTTGGAGCCCAAATTCTTGATGTTCTTTGGACACGGTGTCCGGTCTGGTTTCATTCCCTGTGACGAGAAAACTGCATATTGGTTTATCACTTGGACTCCCTCTACTGAACGTAAGTAGTTATCCATATCCCCATATTATGATTCTTATGTTAAGAATTTTTTTTTTTTTTTTTTGGGTTGAAACTTGAAGTTATTTGTTTGTTACAAATGGTTGTTGTAGAGAATGGCATGGAAGAGAACCCCGCCAAGTTGAAGCAGTTTATATTGAGCAAGCTTGACAATGCACCCAAAGAAGTGGTTTCTGTAGTAGAAAACACAGAATTGGAAAGTATCATAACATCTCCCCTGAGGCTCAGGTGGCCATGGAATGTCTTATGGGGAGATATATTCAGAGGAAATGTATGTGTAGCTGGGGATGCCCTTCATCCCATGACTCCAGACATTGGTCAAGGAGGGTGCTCTGCATTAGAAGATGGTATTGTTTTGGCCAAATGCCTAGCACAAGCCCTGTTGATGGAACCAAAGAGAGAAGCCAAGGGAATTGATGAAAAAGAAGAATACAATAGAATAAAAAATGCATTGGAGAAGTTTGCAAAGGAGAGGAGATGGAGAAGCTTTCAGCTTATAAGTACAGCTTTTGTGGTGGGATTGATTCAACAAAGTAATGGGAAGTTGATGGGTTTCTTGAGAGATAAGTTGCTATCATCATTCATGACTAGGCTGATGTTGGAAAGGGCTAATTATGATTGTGGGGGACTTGAGAGATAAGTTGCTATCATCATTCATGACTAGGCTGATGTTGGAAAGGGCTAATTATGATTGTGGGGGACTTAAAAGTACTTGATGGGTTTCTATGTAATAATGAAATGTAGTACCAGCTGAGGGGTAGCCCAGTTGGTGCGTTGGACGAATTGTCCCATAGTTTTGAGTCCTACTATTATCATTTCCGTAAGAAAGGAGCTATTGATGTGATGTTATATTGTTCACTTAAAAGAGTAATGACCCTATGGGAGTGTGAGGCAGTGATTAATACCAAAAAAAAAAATGTAATTGTATTTGCACTTGGAGTTTATTAAGGAGGTTTTTTGGGTTCTAACCATGTTGAATTTCATTTCAACATGGACATTGGACTGCTCAAAGCAAGACAAACTAAAGTATGCTATTGGGGTTGGCCACCTTGTCTATATCTTGGACAATGTATTATGTATGTTGTAATACAAGTTTGACATAATATGTTCTTTTTTTTTTTCAAAATAAATAGTGGGGGCACGTGTGTTGCACATGTAAGTTTGTCATCATATTGTATGAAAACCAAAGAATAAAATACAGAATATACTTAAATTACTATGAAGTGACTTTCAAGTATGAAAAGAAATACACAAAAAAAAAGTCAAGGAATGAACTGATGCACCTTTCTGGAAGAGGAGCACTTGATATTTGACTACTAGATTGAGTCTGGAAATAGCAAAGGAGTTACCCAAAGTAGTTGGGGTTTATTAATGGAGTTGTGTTTACCATAAGTAGTGTTGAGGAAACTGGGCCCAAGCCCATATGACACATACGTTCACAACCCAACCACTGAATTTTATCCTCTTATCCTCTTAGTTCCAACTCTACCTTAGTCTTTATCATTATAGTTTGTCCTTATCACTGTAACCTAACTACTGCCAAGTGTATAGTTGGTTGTAACCAAAACTTTTGTAATCTATAAATACAATGAAAGGCGCAAGTCGGATGCAAGTTTTGTCTCCAAAATCATTCAAGATCTTTTATGGTATCAGAAACTTCAAGACCTACGTCTACCATGCCAACTCGGTCCAACTCTCAAACCCTCTCTAATACCAGTTCAATCATTACCAATGGAGGGAAAATATTGAATCTTCCCAATACATTTGCAATTCGGCTTGATGGCTCAAATTTTCTGTCGTGGAAGTCATCTGTACTTCCTGTTCTTAGAGGCAACCATCTTTTGGGCTTTGTTAATGGCAAAGAGAAGTGTCCACCGAAGCAAATAGTCTCATCCACTATGAATGGAGAATTAAGTGCTGAAGAAATCACCGTCAGTTAAAAATACAAAGATTGGGTGCAACAGGACCAGCTCTTAATGGGTTGGCTATTGATGACACTTACCGAACCCGTATTGGCTCAGGTTATAGGATGCACGTCATCCATTGGAAGAGGATGAAATCACTCTAGTAAACATTGAGAGCTTGTTTCCAACGAGGTTGAAAGGCTTACTAGAAGAGGAAAGAGTTGTTAAGCTTTTAAATGGTTAAAAATGTAAATTTGCATCGTAAAAATAGTCAATTATTACGATTAAGTAATTGACCACTATGGGCAAGAAGGATTTTTTTTTTGGCTAGTTGATTACTACCTCTTGATAGTTAACTATTTAGTAAACCTAGTCTCAGTTGTCATAACTAGTTGACTACTACCTTACAAGTAGTCGATTACTTAGTGATACCAAGCTCATTTGTCACAATTAGTGGATTACTAAGTGTCACCACGCTTGATTATCACATCTAATTGACTTCTACCCCATATAGTCAATTACTATGTATTAGATCATTCAAGTGGTTGACTCCTACAGTACTGGAGTCAACTCCTATAGTCAATTACATCTAGTTGACTGCTACCCCATATAAAAGTATAGACATTACAATACCATTTTTATTTCAGATCTCTCCCATGTTTGATCGCTTCTTTAAAGCAATTTAGTTAGGCCATTCAGCTGCTTTGAAGTGCTTGAGATAGGATATAGAGGCTAATGTGGGTTACACTTCCTAATGACTAACAATCAGTTTAGGCTCTCCTTGTTTTTCACCAAAGGTTGTTTGCATAGGGCCTACCTCAGGAAGCTAGAAGCTACGCTTTAGCGTTGATTGAGTTGCTTCCAATAAGCTACTGCAAATATCTACTGGAAAGTTGATTTCTTAACTCATTTTAAGCTCATTTTAGCTTATATTTTGCTTTTCGAGTTTTTAACCAAACATTTATTTCTACACAGGTTTCTATGTGGGGGGCTATCTTGTAATGCCAAAAGCTGTTGCTAAACACCAAATAGGCACTCAATGTAGAGAAACGAGTTCGATAATGGTTGTGGATAGCATATTGTGCATGGGAAATCTAGATTCCATGTAGGTTTTCCAATTCTGCACTCTCATGATTTAGCTTCCACTTTTATGCCCTCCCACATGAATTGGTGTTTGCTCCTTACAGAGTGTTCCACATTGACCTCACAGCACATCCCATCATGTATTGGGAACATGTTCCCATAAATAACAAAATACAAGTATGGGAGTTGTTCCCAAGGAGAGAACATGTTGATCCCATGTGGATTTAATCCCATCTAATTTGATTAAAATCTGAGTCTGATAAAAAATATATATTATTCATAATATATAAATATTATAAATAATTATATAGAGTCTATAGTTATTAATTTTAATATTTTATATTTATATATATATGTTTAATTTATAAAATTAAAAATAAATAAGTTTCTTAAAACCTTAAAAGTTTTTTGATCATTTTAAATCCAATAAGATGGAAGATCACATTTGTGCCCCTCCCCACAAAGGTCCCACATGCACATCTCGGCGTGCATTGGGAACATCTCCACATGTTGTCAGTGGGAGATGTTCCCAATACGCGATTGGGATATGCAATGGGGCACAATAAGATGGTTGCAATTAAATCGGAATGCTGGCTGATTAAAATTTAGGGAAAATTCCTAATCAGTACCTTATACTTTGGCTCGAGTGACAATTTGGTCCCCGAACTTTAAAATGCGACAACTCAGCACCTGCACTTTCAAAATGTGACAATCCAATACCTGAGCTTTCAAAATGTGATAATCTAGTACCTACTGTTAACCAGTCCGTTAATCAGCCATTAAGTGACATTTGAAAGGTCAAAAATGCTCTAAGAATGCCATATAATTCTCTTTATCAACCAACCAAACTTTGACAATAAAATGATCAGTAGCAAATTCTAGACTCTTCTAAATAATCACCAACTTTTTTGAATAGAAGTGGCTAGAATTTAAGACTGTTCAGTTTTTTGTCAATGTTTGGATGGTTGATAAAAAGAATTAGATGGCATTCGAAGGCATTTTTGACTTTTCAAATATGGACTGATTAATGACAGGTACTGAATTATCACATTTTAAAAGTTTGGATATTAATTGCATTTTAAAGTTTAGAGAACAAATTGTTACTCTAACCAAAATACAGGTACTGGCTTAAAATCTAACATAATAATCGGATACTATCGTATTTATATGGATGCGGATAGAAATTTGAGAGTCCAAATCTAACATAATAATCTAACTCTAGATCCGTTTACAGCCCTAGATGTGTGAGATGTGAGGAGCGTTCGATGAGGAAGAGATCCGGAGTCCTCTTACACACGATTTCGCTATCGCTCTCGCGCTGCGTCGGGACACTTCAGGGCGCTTTCTCTACAAGAAGCAGGGGCGCCGGCTTCTTTCTTTTGCTTCCAATCCCTACTTCGTAACTTCGGTTATAGAGAGAGAGCCGATACCGGAGGCGGAGGGAGTACATACACCTCTCTCTCTCTCTCTCTCGATCCTTAAGAGCACCGCCGCTTTCTGTGTGAGCAACCAAGCTTCAATCAATGGCAAAGAAGAGAAGTAGACAACAACATCAGCAGCCGTTTCTCGCAGATGAATCCACTGCTTCAAAGAAGCGACCACGATCGCCCAAACAACACCAGAAAGAAGAGAAGGTACTCTCTATCTCCTCTTCTCCTCCCTCTCTCTCTGTTCCTCTATGGCTGTATTATTCATTTAATGTTCTTTTCTCTCTGCAGCTCATCTCGTCTGGTATGAGCTCTAAAATTTTGAAAGAAGCCCTGATTCAGCAAAAGGAAATCCAAGATGAGGCGGAAGGCCAGAATCCTAACTCTTTCTCAGCCATAACTGAAGAACCGAATGCGGCTTTGGACGATGCCGGAGAAGAAGACATTGACGCCTTCGACGGCTTCTCAGAAACTCTAAGTCAATATGGTGCTTATGAAGTGAGAATAGTTCCTCTCTTTGCAGCCTCGCAATTATGAGAGATTTAATTCGGTCCAGTTTAGCTTTAGTGATTTTACTATTTCGAATAATGTAGGAAGAGATCGACGAAGATGAGGAGAGACTGTTGGAGGCGTTTATGTCGAAGGACGCCAAACCACAATTTACATTGGCGGACCTCATCATTAAGAAAATCAAAGAAAAAGATGCAGAGGTCTCTTCAGGTAATTCAATTTTAGTTATTTATATTTGCCTTTAGTCAACCACAGAAACAGCATGGCGATGAATAATGACTTTCACTTCCGACGTCTGATTTCTCGTGTTCTTAAGGTTCTGATTATGTATACAACTTGAGAATTTTAAGGCATACACTCTTTTGTCTCTTCAGGAGTTCTGGAATTCGAAAGAATTCTCATTTTGAGTTGAAGTGTATGGTGTCTTAGCCGCTCTTGTAGGGCATTGGGTTCATTGTTCTCATGTTGAACATAGTCTGTTTCACTTAGATGAGTTTGCATAAGCTGACAGTATATGGAACTCTTGGTTTGTACATGCCCATTGGTATCGTTTATTGCTGATTTTGCAATTTCATTAAATAAGTCCCTTTAGATAATTCGCAGGCACAATTTTGCTTACATCCTTCCGTGAGTGCAGTCCATGAAGGCAATATGGAAACTCTCTGGTACTTATCATGCTTCATGTATTTATGCCATCAGATTAAAACATGTTCTCCAATTTTTTTGCATCCTTCAGATTTGAATTTTCTGTGAATAAAAATATATAGTTAAGGTGACCAAGTATGTGGTTGGTATAGATACTAACATCTTAAATGGGGTAATTAACTAATAACTAATTATACCCCCTTTATATGTTGGTTTTAATGTGTTAACTCATTTTGGGTTGGTTGGAATGTAAAGCTAAACGTTATGACTCCTAATCCCTGTGTATGTGTATTTTCCCTTGACAGTGTTAAGTTATCATGTAATCATTACTAGTTTAATTTGTTTTTGTTGTTGTTTTTTTAATCATGGGGCTTTACAGCGGGGGTTACTCATCCCCCCCGACCCATAAATCCCCAACCCTGGTGAAGGAAGGATTCAATCCCAAGTCTCTGCTACAACCAGCCTGAGACTTTCTTTACAGTTCACAACTTAGATGGAGTTATTATTGTTACATGTATACATTACTTTATTCATTACCTAACCACTTCAATTATACCAGAAGAAACACAGCTGCCACTACTGCAGTTCAATCAATAACTCTTGCTAGTTTTTTGCTACTTGGGGTTGTGGAGTACTAGGCTTGCTGTAGGAAAATTTAGGATTACTGAGACTGAGATGGAAGGAACTACATTTGGGTCATCCTAAGGGTGTCTCACTGAGAACTTTGGGGTGTCAATTGTGTTGTTGACTACTCAGATGCTGAAGGATCTAATAAAGTGTTAAGCAGTGTGTTGGTAACTCGTCTGAAAATCTTTCCTCTCTTATAAAGTATTGATATGCTCTATACTCAAAAACAGTACAATACTCCTTTTTTTATATATTTTTTGGTCTGAGAATTTAGAGATCTGTACCTACACATGATTATTAGTATTTTAACTAATACATATTCAATGTAACGGGGACCCTGAAAATTGATATGTATTGTACAATACTTACTGATATATTGCTGTACTTTGAACCTTGGTCTCAACCAAGGGGAAAAAAGCAATACACACACAAACACACACCCACACTCACACCCAGAAAACAGAATTTTATTGAAGATGACTAGATACAGAGTACTACTAGAAGTTGTGAAAAGAAAACAACCCCATTACAGAGTTAACCCCAAGAAATTACCACCGTGGCCCAAACATCTGTTGTCTTGAACTCCTTTCTTAGCTAAACTATTTGCCAAACTGTTAACATCTCTTCTGATCCATCTGATTCAAATATTTATGTCTTTTGAAAGCCATTTAAAGTGCCTGAATCAATTTCACAACTGCCAGCTCACTCCACTTTTTTTCAGCCAACCCGCCACAATCTTCGAGTCACCTTCAATGATCAGCTGACCAACTCTCAATTCCTTGGCTTTCTCAATCCCAGATACTGCTGCTAGGTATTCAGTTCTTACTGAGTCACTTTGTGTGGTTGGGCCTGAAAACAAAGCACATATAGTATCACCATCATCTCTAAACACCCTTCCAATTCCCAAGAGGCCTAGATTACATAAACTGCTACCATCAAAATTCAATTTCAAGGTGACCAAACCTCTGAACATTTTTTTGTTTCCTAGAGGAGGAGTCAGCTATAGCCTCCTAACTCCTGAAAAAATCCCCCACCTTAAAATCCAAAAAAAGTTTCAGGGTAACCCATTGTGCAAATCTAAAAGTAATGAACTCTATCACTGTTTCCTTCTCTCCTCTCCAAAGATTCTTGTATTTCTTTCTTCCCAAACTGTCCAGATCACAGCTGCTCTTGTTCATCTCCACAAAATCCTGCCTCTCCTTTTTGTGCACCTCAACACAAAAGGGCTAAACAACTCTCCAAACTGGCAGGGGGTATTGTATGGTTGTATTTTATGTGCTTATTTTTTTTCTTTACCTCCTTTATTTGGCATCTTCTTGTGCTTTATATAATTCTACAACAATTCTTTCGTAGTTGGTATAAAATAAACTATGATTATCTTCCATCCTCTCTTTATTGGTTTTTTTTTTGGGTACTTTAAACCAATACTTAGGCATCAGGAAGAGTCAGTCATATGGGGCAATCTGGCAGGTATTGGTGGAATTTTGCCTGCATTTGGTGATTTGGTCCCTGATTCATGTTCATTTTAGATGATCAATGTTAATAGTCTGATAGGTTTTAATTTGATTCAGTTCAAGTTTACCTGTATTTCATAATTGTGCATCATGGCCAACAAAACCCTTTTGTTTTAATGTGTCTGCTTACTGTAGGGTGCAAATATTTTTAAACATCGGTGTTTAGATACATGACAGTTTTCCCTCCCTTCTTCCCTCCTTTTTGAGGAACTAGTAATGCACTAACTCTTTTCTTTGATTGTTTGCAGAAGCACGGCCCCTTCCTAAATTGGACACAAAAATCATAGATTTATACAAAGGGTATTTGGGCCATTTTATTCTTATCATCGCCATTTTCTTTTTGGTTGATAATGTTACACTAGTTCTTATCAAAATGGTACATAACTTGCAGAGTTGGTGAATGGCTTAGTAAGTACACATCTGGTAAAATGCCCAAAGCATTTAAACATATTGCCACAATGGAACTCTGGGAAGATATGCTATACTTAACTGAACCTGAGAAGTGGTCACCTAATGCGATGTACCAAGCCACAAGAATCTTCTCTTCCAACATGGGCGTAAAGAAGGCCCAGCGCTTCTACAAGCTTGTCTTACTCCCAAGGATTAGAGAAGACATCCGAAAGAACAAGAGACTCCATTTTGCTTTATATCAATCATTGAAGAAATCTCTTTATAAGCCAGCAGCTTTCTTCAAGGGGATCTTGTTTCCACTATGTGAGGTATGTAAAAATACTTGAATAATTCTCAATAGAAATGACTAGTAACCTACTGATTTAAGTATTATTCCCAAAAGGAGCTATATTATAGTCCAAAACATGAGATCATGCCTTGATGTCTATGAAGTAATTGTATAGAGCTGCTATAATTGGCATTTCCAATCTGCTACAAGATGGGAAAAGAAATGTGTTCCAAGTTTCACAGGATGGAGAATTGAAAAAAAAAATTCAAAACTAAAAAAAAAAGATTCTTGTTGCCTAAATTTATTAGGTTGTCAGACTAGCATAGACATGCCTTGAAACGAGTAAACAACTCAATAGGGAGGTAAACATGGCTTTGGACTCACAGAGCAGCAAAGTTGCTGATTCACTTGCTAGGCAAGGGGTTGATAGGGAACAGTTGTACTGGGTGTCACTACATAGTGTTTTCTTTTTTTTTTTATATAAAATTCTTATAAACTGGAAAGGGGTTAGGTATCAGGTGAGCATAACATTCCAGCCAGTTGTTCTTTTTCTTGTCTAATTTATACTTCACCCATGTTGTTTTTTGTGTTTAAATATTTGTTCTCACCACTATCATGTGATAAACTGCTATATATTAACCAGTTACAGTCAAGAAGCATAATGATTGGTTCCTGGTCCTATTTTTTTATATTATTATTATTATTGTTATTATTATTTTTGTTCTTTATACATTGGATTTGATGTGCCTAGAAGTAAGAATTTCATTCTTGATGTATAGTCAGGAACTTGCACTCTCAGGGAAGCTGTCATCATTGGAAGCATTATCCAAAAAGTCTCAATTCCATTGCTTCATTCAAGGTACTAGAATCTCTGTTGATGGGTAATAGTGCAATTTTATTAATTGAGAAACTGATTTCAAGGTACTAGAATCTTTATCTATGTTCCAATTTTTTCTGATGATGATGTACATCTAAGACTATATGAACTATTTGGGGTTTTCTGTGTCCATCCTTTTCTGTTTTTCCAGACTGTCTAGTGGTCTATGTGTGTGCATGTACATGCATATATTTATTGAATCTGATATATTTTGTAGCTTTTAGTGCACTCTGGTGATGTTTATGACCACTCATTCTCCTTTTTGTATTTGTAGTCTGCTTAATGATATGCGTTTGTTCATTCATAAAAAAAATGATATGCGTTTGTAACTTCTAGTACATACATCTCATTTCTCAAATCTTGCTTTCCTAGCTTTTGATGCATGCTCAGAGATGTCTAAAACAATTTTCTAAATGGGCTTGCAGTGCTGCACTATTGAAGATCGCAGAGATGGAGTATTGTGGCACAACTAGGTATTCAAACTTAAAACCTTTACAAGAATGCACTGGCTAGTTGATGTTTTGCCTGTAATGTCTAAAACTACCCGGTGCTGCATTGTCACTTTCACTACACTGGAATTGTTCAGCACTTGAGCTAAAAGAGGAAAGGATGAGATCTATCTGAGAGTGATAGAAATAACCATTCAATTTTATTAATTATGGAACTTAATGATACATATGTACAACACCCTTTTAGGGAGATAGCTTCTTCTATCTCTACTCTTTTTTTAATTAAAGATTTGTGCTCTCCCCACCCTTGCTTAGCTAATTCATGTACCTGTACTATTCAGAGTGATATGTTTCTTATGTTCCAGTTTTTTAGATTTTAGTGTCATCAGTGCTGATGCATCGAAATAAATTTAAATTCAATGGAAAGGCATTAAATATAAATTCAAAGGAAAGAGACAAATGCTTGGAACTCTTAGTAGTGAAAATTGAAAAATAGATATCTTGTTCCTAGTATTCTATTTGCTGCTATGAACCTTTCTTTTCAGCTCTGATGTTTATTTCTAATAACTAATAAAGGAGTTCCTTTTGGATTTTAACCCTTACCAATATTATTTGCACATTTTGTTTCAATCATAGGACAATGTTTAGACATGTTAGACGTTTTCTCTTCTTATATGGACTCCATCAATATGAAAAAGTGGAAATTATGTGACAATGTATAAGGGATTGGTTCTTTGGAGCATTTGGTGTGAAATGAATGCCGGAATTTTCTATAACATGGAGCAAGAGGTTAATGCCTTAATTGACACAAGTGTTATCAAAGCATCAACTAGTGAGTTGAGGGCCAGACCAACTGCATCACTAACTACTTGGTCGATATCTGTGATGCAGTTACCTAGGACTACTAAGCATTAACTAGTCAACCTAGTCAACCGCAAATTCATTTTAAAACTTTATTTGTTTGTTTTATCTCTAATTATTTGAAATAATCTGGAATATGTTTACATTTTATTATATTCATGCTGTTGCTTTAAATTTTTGTTATGAAACATGATTGGATGATGTTATAAAATAGAAAAAGGCATAAAATAAAAGAAGTCAACTGAGGAGTTCTTTTAAGTTTTCTTCTAATCAGTGGGTGTGTTGGTAAGGAGTTGACACAATCAAAGACCATATCTTATATGGTAAAGGATGCACTTATTCTTTGTAAAACAATGGCTGTGATTTCCTGCTAGCCTGTACAGCCTAACCTTTTCTTTGTTTGCAAAACCAAGACTGTAGATTAAATGTTCAATATCATTCTTTTCTTACATATTGTTGTTGATATTAACCTATTTATGGGGTTTTGCATTAATATCTTTAACTTAGAATTTATCTTTATTTATCGACCAGTTAGTGTCTTACGCCTTGGCAGTGATTAGCCATTTCATCAACTAGAGAGGACAAAATGGCTAGTCATCACTTAATCGCATTGATAACACTGATTGACACTATTATGGTATGAGTAGCACACTGGGTGCTGAGTCTGCTGACTAGAGCGGAGTTCAAAGATGGTGGGTTCTATATTAAGAGGATAATCGGCAGTGCCCAGTTGTGCACCTTAGTGAGGCTTAGATTGCACTGGTAGAAGGAAAATTAAACTCAGATTTGGTAATTGTTGTCTAGGTAATCCAAGCATTCAGGGGTAGGTGGTCTTGTAAGAGACCACACGAGTATTAGATTTGATCTTTTTGGGCCTACTGGGTGAATGTACATCCCTAAGAGCAGAATTTCTTTCTCTACTTCAAGGACTTGCGGTTCTCAGCAGGTTGCAATGGCCTAATTGTGAAAGGAGACTGTCAGGCAATGATTGGTTAGCTTTACTTAAGCATGGACCTGGGCCCTTGGACACTTGGTTAGGGAAAGAGATCTTTGGCACCCAATATGAACTGCATGCTTGGATCAATTCCAAGATTGGGTGATGAACTTGTAGATTCATTTGCAGGGGAACAAGTAACATGGGCAGAATTGGATTGGGGAGCACCTGGTCAGTGGGTGGACTTGTGATGTTATGCACCAAATGTCCTTTTCCTTGGCAGCATGCTGCTGTTTTGTATTGGTCCCTTTCCATTCAAATAATAGGGAGTGATGGGGTTTTCCTCTCCCTTTTTACTTCACCATTTGAATAAAATTCTCAAATTATTGTTGCCGATCAAAGAAAGAAAAGCCAACAATCAGATAAGTTGTTAATAAACCTTAGTATGTCAGTTTATTTGGCTGGTTTTGTTGCAGATACTACTACTAGTTTCTTTTCCATCAAGTGCAAAATGTCATTGGGTTAATGGGATTTTTTTTTTTTTTCCGTTTAATGTAATATATGTGTAAAGTCACACTCTATTTACAACTGGTTTATCCTTTTCATTTTGTAATAGTTTGACACACAAGGCAGTATGTCAGTATTTCCTCTTATTCTAATCTACTGCAGTTATTTCATCAAGCTTCTCCTGGAAAAGAAATATGCTTTGCCTTATCGTGTACTTGATGCTGTTGTTGCTCATTTTATGAGATTCCTTGATGATACAAGGACGATGCCTGTAATTTGGCACCAGACACTTCTTGCATTTGTTCAGAGGTTAGTGGTTCCTCCGTGATGCATCTTTCTGTAGTGAGTGCTTATGTTCTATCTCTTATAACTAATGTTTGGGATTCTAGTTCAGAGGTTCATGTTCATGTTCTATCTCTACACAAAAGGCTTTTGCATGCTAGTATTTCTTCTTGCTTGGATTTGTTGCAATTCTCTTTTCTGTGAAATGCAATTGTTTGCTAAGAGTTGAATACCCGTAGGTACAAAAATGGACTAAAGGAGCAGGACAAAGATAATCTTGAACGTCTAATTCAGTACCAATATCATCATTTGGTAAGGGAATTAAACCTTTAACAACTCTACTACTTTATCTTAATATAATTATATGGTGATATTGTTCTTTGATTTTCTGTATTATAGGTTACACGGGAAATCCGTAGGGAGCTAAAAGCTTGCCGTGAAAAGGAATCTGATCCTATGTCACTTAATATCCTTTTGTTTGAGAATGGATTACAAATTTTTATGACTGGTTTTTGTTTCCAAGCTTTTTATTTTTTTATCAGTTCATTGCTTTTTTCCTTTTCTGTTCATACCTGGATTCGTACGATTCGTCATCCACAACTAAAGTTTTTAAGGTTGGTATTTTTACCATTCAATAGGTTGTCTAAGGAGGATTTTATGGGTGTACCAACTTATGGAAGGCGATTTTTTCTTTAGCCTAGTTGAGAGCAAAGGAAATAAATAAATGAACAACAAACTTGTGCTACCACCCTAGATGGTCTCAGAAGCCAACTACACCAAACTACCTCTAACTTGCTCTTTCAGAAACCCATCCATTCATTAACTGCTTTTTCTCAATTTGCAATTCACTGCCTTATTTTTCTCACAAATTTCTAGGTTCTCATGTGTTGTGTATTAGGATTGTTGTAAATGACATACTTGTAATGAGCTGTGTTATATTTTGGTATAATTTTAATACATGTTCAATCAAGACAATCTATCCATACTTGTTTATGCATTTTTTATGGCCAGGTTCAGATTTTTATTAGGATAATAATCAAATAAGGTAATGACTCTTGTTTCCTTAACAACCTCTTACCATCTCCTGTTGCCATAATTAATAAAACAATTGAAGAAGACAGGTTTGATATTCCAGAGGTTCCCATGGAAGAGGATTGAATTGTTTGATAAATTGCTACAGACATCCAGGTAATATGCCGTTTTCTACATGGCATTTCTATTTGTTGTGTTGGTTGTATGATCCGTACAAGTGGTAGGGAATTTCCTTCTCCCCCTTTATTTGGTGGGTTGGGGGGGGGGTGTTCGAAATCTTTCAATATTCATATGTAATAGAATACTCTCGAGCTGATTGATTTACAATTTTGTCACAGGGTTTTATTAAATCTAGCAGGATGAAGGAAATGGAAATACTATTTTGGTCCAATGTATTGGGGATAAAACAAGGTATTGCTTTTTGCAGGGTTCTATAATTAAGTTCATTTGAGTTAAATAGACATCCAGAGCTTAGCTGTGCGGTTATAGCCTGGAAATCAGTCGCATTGAATACCACAATCGTGAGACAAATTTGTTTGAAAATTTTGACTTTCTGTGGGGAGTATTTTCCCTCTAATCAAGTTCTATAACCTATATGTAATGCTGCTTGTATGGATGATGAAATACATGGTAGAAATTTTTTGAGTATTACGAAGAAGTTTTACAAACAGAAAACACTTCAGAGATAGAAAAGTTGGCACTCATCTGTATTCTCATCTGGTTATATAATTGGAATTCACATGATTTAGAATGTCCATTTCACTGGGTGTCATATTACTGGTAGAGGCAAGGTTCAAAATATCGATATACCCGATACACCGGTATGGGTGTATCGGGCGAATCAATACAGCTTTTGGTGCTCTTTTTTTTTTATTTTTTTTTTGCAACTGGTTCAGGGGAGCCGGTTTAGGCCTTCTCCACATCCTGAACTGGTCAGACCCCCGATACATCTACTGTAGGGGCATATCGAAGGGGTTTTGGAATGATATGTATGGGCCAATACGTGTCGATACTTTGAACTTGGGTAGAGGGCAAGTAATGTATTACAAACGTAGGACACAACGCACACACAAGGCAACAAGCGCCTATATTTGTTTGATGGAATGCCTCCATCCATCAGTTGTAATTATTGCGTATCGACTAGATGTTACAGAGGTTGTTTTTTCATGTCTTGGCTGCTTGTACACAATCCAGTTCCACTGGAAACAGCCTCAGTTTTGCCCTGTGAGATGAACTTTTCTTTGGATTCTCGGTTACCCATTAAACATTAAAATGTTGATTGGTTATTAAAGATTGGAGTGATCAATGATTTGTAAACGTGGACCAGAGAGATCATGGTGTCTTAGGCACATCATGCCACGCCCATGGGCAATTGAACAAGTGAGTAGGTCAAGCCGACAGCTTTGCCAAAAAGTGACCTGAGTCTTGAATAACGTCCGTTAGGTTCTCTTGGAATTTGGAAGAGCAACTCGTAGGGGGTGTAAATGGAGAGAATTCCATCAAGAGAATTTGATATGCAAATTTAATTCGATTTGATTACGCTAAATCTCGAATTCGAACTTGGATTTTTGGATTTTGTTTATATGAAAAAAAAGCTATTCAAACTATTCCTGTTTGGGGGAGATTATCCAAGTAAAATATTACAAGGTTCAAAATATCGATATGTCCGATATGCGGCGTATCGGGCAAATTGATACTATTATTTTAGTTTTTTTTTAATTTTTTTGAAACCGGTTCAGCAGGGTCAGTTTAGGTTTCTTCCATCCCCTGAACCGGTTAAACCCCCGATACACCCACTATAGGGGCATATCGGTGGGGTCTCGGAATGATACATATCGGCTAATAGGGGCCGAAACGTGTTGATACTTTGAACCTTCGTTAAAATAGAAAAATCAATTATCTTTTAATCACTCTATGGACAATACGTAACCACTAGCCAGCATAGAGTAAATTATTACTCTATGGTTTGAATTATCTTGATCAAGCTGACATTCAATCTAATGGTGTGTTATCAGGTGAATGGGTTTGCAGAAATTCGGATTTGATCTCCACAAAACCGTTCTCACACTGTCTTCACAGCCCTACAGCTGTGCACAGCACTCCCCCACAGAGTGCGCCCACAGCCCATCTCCTCTGCATTGGGAACATTTCCTGTGTTTGTCATGAGAAGATGTTCCCAGGTGGGCTGTGGGGGCACTCTCTGGGGAGTCGATCCCGTCTCTTTTCTTAGTTGGCTCCTCGGTTAGAATGTGCAAGAGGTAATCAATGCCAAGAATATGAGGTGTTAGTCGGTTGGCTCGTAAAGCCTCTTGGTGGTTGTGGCGGAGGTTTGTGTTCGAATCTTATCTGCACTAGGGTTGGGGGATAGGTTACCTTGGTTGTATAGTCCTATGGAGAAATAAATAAATAAATAAATGTTAAGAATAACTGTAAGAATGAAAGTCAGGTTGCATCAAGGTTCAAAATATCGATACGTAATTGGCTGGGCTCCCCCCCGGCCTGATACGTCCATATAAGGGGTGTTTTGGGGTCTCGACTGGTTAAGAGGGTAGACAGACCTTAAATTGGCCCCTCTAAACTAGATAATAAAAAAAAGCTATGGCATATCGATATTTTAAACCTTGGGCTGGATTGAGATATGTTGAGGTCAAATCTATCTTAATCTCAATTGTTGAACGTCCAACCTGATGAGAGATTGGGTTGGGTTCAGGTTGTGTTTGATTTGGTCTGGGTTTTAATTTTTTTTTTGTTAGAATTGTTATATCAAGGTTAACACGTAACTACGGTGATTTAGGAGTATTGTACTTTTTTTTGGGTAGAAGGGGAGTACTGCACTTAGGATTCATGTAACCAACCTCATATATATAGTCGGGACACAACTTACATGATAATGATGATGATATCAAGGTATACTTTGGATATGCAAGGATACAATAGAAAATTAAGATACACATGAATATGCTAGAGAGACTCAAATAAATCTTAAAATACATTAATAAAACTAAATCCAATGACCATAAATAAAGAATATCCACATGGTAGTTTACTAGAATACACTAAGACAAACAATGTTGGGAAATTGTAGAAGAGTTAAGATATAGCTTAAATCAAGAAAAAATGTTAATTTCAATGGTAAACTAATTCTTTTTTTTTCTTTTTCTTTTTTTCATTTGACGTATTTATTAATAGGAAAATTTGAAAAAAAAGGCTTAGAAAGTTCAAACTTAAAGCACATGCTATTTTCACAAAAATGTAGTCTAGTAAAGGAATTTCTCTTTCATTTGGGTGCCTTTGTGCTAAATCTTTATCAATTGCATTTATGTATATGTATAATTTTAAGCAGTGTTAATTTATAATTTAATAGGATAATTCACTTTCAAAAAAAATTAACAGGATAATTCAAAAACGAAATAAGAAAGTCTATTTTGTTTTTTAACAATTGATATTAATTTGTAATGGTTAAGTATGAGTTTGTAACAAAGGTTCAATATTTAGATATGTATCGGGTGTATTGTATTGTATATGTATTGTATTGGCAGGTCATGGATACTCCTATTTTAAGGCATTTTCTAAAATTGATGTTTATAAATGTTAACAAACAATAGAGACCAAATCTGCCCCCACAACGTCCCACAACACATCCCGACTGTGTATTGGGAACATCTTCCGATGGTAATCCCAAAAATGATGATGTATTACCATCGGGAGATGTTCCTAATACACGGTGGGGGGCAGATTTGAACTCCAAACAATAATATCGAACTCCCATGAAAATATGGAAGTAAAAAAAATATAAAATCTAGTTTTTAATAGCATCAAAACACTAGATACCACATGATGAGGGCAAATTTGGCCTTCTAGTGAAATTGTGACATGTGGCACCTCGTGACAACTAGGCGACACCCAGGCAACAACTTACCAAGTTGGTGTCCCACCCGGGCACCGGCCTGG